ATCTATCATCTATCTATCTATCTATCTATCTATCTATCTATCTATCTATCCATCTGTCCCATCTCTTTCATCTTTTTCTTCCTTTTTTCATTAAGAGAATTGATTTGTATAGCTCACAGTTTTGAAGACTCACAGCCCAAGACTGGCTAGACCCAGATGACTAGTCTCTGATGAGGGCCTTCTGTCCATGTCACAACATGACATATGACATCATGGAGCAGAAAGGAACAGCAGACTGGAGAAGTCACATAGCAAGAGAAGCTTTAAAGCAAGCAAGCGCCAAGCCCCCAATGAGCTCAGATGGAAGCTCATTCTTTCTTCTGAGACTACAATAACCACCCAGGGTGCCAATCACCTACCAGGTCCCATCTCCCTGTTCTAGGTTTTCTCTTTTGGGCCACCAAGGCCACCAACCAGCTCCCAAATCATGGCATGGAGAATTTTTATTAGTCATAAATACTACCTACATTAGGCTTGTTTCTGGCTACCTTTTTTTTTTAATCAATCTGTTTCTCTTTACCTTTTTCCTCAGTGCTTTCTTCTTTTCTTTCCTTCTGTATACCTTACTTTCACTGCTTCCTCCAGTGTCTGGCTGACTGGCAGCTGCCTGGTGTCTGGCCCTGGGCGTATCCCCCCTTCTCTTCTCTCGTGCCCCTTTCCTCTCTCATTCTTTCCTCCTCCTCCCCGCTTTCCTCTCCTGAGCCTAAAATTTTCCCCCTGCTATTTATTCTCTCTGCCTGCCAGCCCTTCCTATCCCTCTCCCGCCTAGCTATTGGGCATTCAGCTTTTTTATTAAACCAATCAGGTATCTTAGGAAGGCAAGACAAAACAGTGCAACGCATCTTTACATAATTAAGCATACATCTTTACATCATTAAACAAATGCAGCATAAATAAAAGTAACACGCCTTTACCCAGTTAAAGTAATATTCCTCAACATAAACGAAACACATTTTTGTTCAGCTAAAATAATATTCAACAATGCTTCTCAGTATTCTTTTCTCTAAAAGTATTTTTATCAAAATTTTTTATTCTATATTTTCATTTTATATTTTATTATATATTTTTGATCATGGTCTTCCCTCACGCAAACTCATCCCAGATCTTCATTATCCACCCAACTTCACACCCTTTCTCCCTTTCTCTAGAAAACAAATAGGACTGGAGAGAGTGTTGCTCTTGCAGAGGACCTGGGGTTCAATTTCCAGTACTCACATGGTAGCTCTCATCTGGCTGTAACTCCAGTTTTAGGGCAATCTGATGCCCTCTTTGGCCTTCTTGGGCACTGTATTCACATGGTGTACGCAGACATATATGCAGGCAAAACATCCACGTACATAAAAATAAAAAAAAACCATCAAAAATGGGAAAACAAACATCAAACCAGAATTAAAAAAAGCTGCAAGAAACACACACACAAGCACACATTCTCCCTCCCCTCCAAAGCCATAAAAACACAATGAGTGGTCATTTCTTATTCACACCACCACAGACACTTACAACTTGCCAGGTTCTAAGGACCTGATCAGCACTGGGTCACAGCTGCATGCTCTGCCTACTTTGCATAGTCCTGACAACCCAGTCAGATAGACCTCTCCTCCCGCTTCACAGAGAGACGAGCGCTCTTGCAGTGACCACACAACTAGTGAGTAGCGGCGTGCTTCCTCAGGCCTGCACAGTGTCAGCGACCATACTGTAAATATTACCCTACCCAGGCTTCTTTCCCCAGCAAGGTCAGTGTGGCTCTTAGTTCTCAGCACACTGGTCCTATTCTCTCACCAACTATCACAAAATTGTGTGTTTGTGTGTGGTATGCGTGTGTGTGGTGTGTGCGTGTGCATGTGTGTGGTGTATGTGTGTGTGGTGTGTGTATGTGTGTGCATGGTGTGTGTATCTGTGTATGTGTGTGTATGTCTGTGTGCAAGTGTGGTGTGTGTATGTGTGTGTGCATGCGTGTGTATGTATGTGTGTGTATATGTGTGTGCGTGTGTATATGTGTGTGTGGTGTGTGTGTATTTGTGTGCATGTGCATGTGTGGTGTGTGTGTATGTGTGTGTGTGCATGTGTGTGTATGTGTGTGTGCATGCCTCTCTGTGTGTGTGTGTGTGTTGGGGAAAGGTGTCTAAGGGGAACAGGGTGATTAAAGGGAGAGTGACAGACATAAACTCTTGCTAGAGTCCATCTAGCTTGACTGAGGACAGGGTTAGGCTGTGGATGTTTGCACGTCTCTCATGCCTGGAAGCATGTGCTAATCAAAGGCGTTCCCATCTACAGCTGTCTGTAGGCAGCTGCCTGCCAAACACAGAGGCCATTGGTACAGGTCCTCCCCACACCGCTCCCCACGGTGAGCCTGGCCGGAATACTGTCTGAGAGGTGCAATGCTGTGTGTGCAATACGCTTGGAAGATCAATGAAGTCTGATGTCAAAAGATGAGTAAATGGGACTGGAGAGAGATGACTCAGCAGCTAAGAGCACTGGCTGTTCTCTCAGAGGACCAAGGTTTGGTACCCAGCACCCACATGACAGCGCATAACCTCTATAACTCCAACTCCAGGGAATCCGATACCCTCTTCTGGCCTTCTTGGACACCAATCACATACATTGTACACACACACATATATGCAGGCAAAACACTCATACATGTAAAATAAAAAAAGGGAAAATAATTTGGTAACTTTCACCAAGAACATTTTCATGGCTGGGATTGTAGCTCAGTGCTATAGCAGTAGCCCAGTAAGGTTCTATGTTCAAGTCTCAGCATTGCATACACACATATACAGATATGCACACACACGTACACACACATACACAGACACGCACAGATACACACACAGACATAGACACACATACTGGCACAGATCCATACACACACATATATGCACATACGCATATACAGATACACAGACACACACAGAGACACATACATAGGCACATACAGCACACATGGACACACACAGACATATACATCACATATACAGATATACACAAATACATACACTCAGACACCCACACATACAGACACATAGACACACTCAGACACACACACAAACACATACACTCAGACACATACATATAGACTCAGACACACACACACAGACACCGACACACACATAGACAGACTCAGACACACACATAGACACAGACACAGACACTGAGACACACACACACATAGACACAGACACGCAGACACACACACATAGACGCAGACACACTCAGACACACACATATAGACACACATACACAGACGCACAGATACACACACATGTAGAAACACACATATACAGAGACACAAACATACACAGAGACACATTTCTGTGAAGGTTTAATGTGACAATTTAGGTAAAGCCTGAAGAGTTTTTATTAAAAATGAGTGGACTTGGTGAGTGAGCACAGGCCGGAAAGGAGACTTTTGTTTTAGGGGTCTCTGGTTTGTCTTCAGTGGCCTTTCAAAGTGACTCTCTGGAAGGGTTAAGATTGGGATGATCTAGAAGGGATTCATAATTTTATTAGGAATAAAGTTTGAAAATAAATATGGGGGTTGGGTGTCTACTCCATCAGCACAGCGCAAGCTCAGTAAGCCTGGAAGCTGGGCCCAGGCTCAGCACCGCTCACCTGCAGAAGCCGATCTGTCTGCGGGGGCTAGAAGGAAGCTCTGCAGTACTTTCAGCAGTCATGGTTCATTTCCTGATTCTGCTTGTCAGGCTCCCCTAAGCCCCAAAGAACACCAGAAACCTTGTGATTCCCCCAGCTGTTTTCTAGGCTTCTTGCCTATTTGGTTTCGAATCTAAAAGGAAAACTTACTTCAATAACATTTTAATCACGTTTAAAATTTTTGTCCAACAGTAGTGCTAGGAACGATAAGCTCTACATCGTGGTCCACTTGCCAAACTCCTCATAAGGACTTGTTTGGTTTTAAATAGGTGCGGAGAAGGGCTGAGACATGGTGTCACACAGAGATCGCTTTTGCCCAGCCAGTCTCAGCCAGAGAGCGGAGGTCACTGGAGACTCCTGGGAGAAGGCGGAGTGTTGCTTCTGGCCGCCATCAGTGTTGCTTTATGCAGGAGAAAGGAGTGAGTAGCAAAGCTTTTCCAGGCAAAAAAGTTACAGAGAAACACAGATAAGATATTTGACAATCAGCCGGGCGGTGGTGGCATACACCTTTAATCCCAGCACTCGGGAGTCAGAGGCAGGTGGATCTCTGTGAGTTTGAGGCCAGGCTGATCTACAAGAGCTAGTTCCAGGACAGGCTCCAAAGCTACAGAGAAACCTTGTCTGGGGCCGGGGGGAGACATTTGACAATCTTAGTGAAAACTCAAAACAACACAGATAGGAGGCGTTCTAAATTCACTCATTCATTCTCCGAGGCACCTATTAATCCACTCGCCAAGTGAGCACTGAGCAGGGAGACGGTGTGGGAATGAGTTGTTGGCTTTGAACAGCTGGTTGTACGTGGCCAAGACAGTCAGCGCTGGTGACGACAGGGTTTTGTAAATGGCACAAGGCCACAAGGTGTTGTTTGCCCACACTTAATGCAGATCAGCCTGGAGCAAAATGAACGTGTAAGGAAGGGGAGGGGATAAGGAGCTGAGAGACCTGGAGACTGGAATACTGCAGCGAGGGGAGTTGGTGAGACTGCCAAACACCAACCGGGAATCCAAGATTAATCTAGAGAACTTCATGTTCTAAAATCTTGCTTTGTTTCCCTAAGCACGTGAGCTTGGATGATCTACCCCAACCATCTGGCTAAAGGGCAGCCAGTTGTGCTGTTGTTGCCCATGGTGTGGGATCCATTCTCGAGTTGAAGAAAGAAGCTGAAGTTGAAGCAGTTCGTTATTTCTCAATTGTAAATCCCTCTGTATCTCAAAGAAGAAACCAGATAAATCTTGTTGAACAAACACTTTGTTTTCTGTGTAGGGATGTGGTCACCTCGAATGGGATTCGCTGGTTAAATTATAACCTTACGCTTGTGCTTACGCGAGTCACTCTTACCCTGCTGACCTTCAGGCAGCTACAATGACGAGCTCATGCCCAGTTTGGAAATGAATCAGGTTGTCAAGTTTTGAAGGTTGTTTGGAGAGGCCTTTAGAAAACGTGCCAGGCTAACTCCGTCACATTTTCAAAAACAAGAAGTGGCTATTAGTGAATGTCTTAGTTAGGGTTTCTATTGCTGGGAGGAAACACCGTGACCAGAAGCAACTTGGGGAGGGAAGGGTTTGGGTTACCCTTCCATATCACAGTTCATCCTCAAAGGCAGTTAGGGCAGGAACCTGGGGGCAGGAGCTGATACAGAGGCCATGGAGGGGCACTGCTTACTGGCTTGATTCTCATACCTTGCTCTGCCCATTTTATGGCACCCAGGATTGCTAGCCAAGGGTATCACCACCTGTAATGGACTGGGGATCCCATCAATCACAAATTAAGAAAATGCCTACAGGCTTACCTGTCTCCTGCCCGATCTTAGGAAGGCATTTTCTTGGTTCCTTCCTCACAGATGACTCCAGCTTGCGTCAAGTTGACATCAAAGCTAACCAGGACAGCGAATATATAAAAAATAATTTTCAAAGGCTGTTTGACTATCAAATCCCCAATCATTTCCAATTTGAGTCAGGTCAGAGAAGAAATCTTCAACTGAAATGTGGCCAGAAACCACAATGCAAAGAAACTCAACAGTTGGCTCCAGTTTCCAGGAGTGAGTCAGGAAGAAGTCAGAGTCAGCCTCGCAAATTTTACCCCTAGGACCAGTAAGGTGGCTCAGTGAGCCAAGGCGCTTGCGGCCAAGCCCTGGTGACTTGAGTTTGATCCCTGAAACTCATGTGGTAGAAAGAGAGAAGTTATTCCCCAAAGTTGTCTCCTGACCTCCATAGTCCAGCCATGGTGTGCACACAGTAATAGGTAGAAGAAAAAGCCTACTAAGTAGTTGGGGATTTGGCTCAGCAGTGGAGCTATTTAGAAAGTATAAGGCCTTGGGTTCAGTCTCCGTGAAATGCCAGCACTGTTTTATGACTGTAATTATTAGTCAAAACTGTCAGGTGGTGCCAGGCAGTGGCGGCACATGCCTTTAATCCCAGCACTCGGGAGACAGAGGCAGGCGGATCTCTGTGAGTTTGAGACCAGCCTGGTCTACAGAGCAAGTTCCAGGACAGGCCCCAAAGCTACAGAGAAACCCTGTATCGAAAAACCAACCAACTAACCAACCAACCAACCAACCAACCAACCAAAAAACAAACAAACAAAAACCAAAAACAAAAAATCAAATAAAAAACTTCCCAACCCCCAAAAAAGTAAGGTGGAAAGATATAGAGAAATTAATAGCAGTTTTCCCACAGAGAGATTTCTTTGAGGACAAAATAATTATATGTAGGTTATGAATCTAATTTGCATTGACGTATTTCTATATATCTTATTATATAACATTAATAAATAAAAGTTCCTTATGGGAAAATTGGACGGTATAAATAAACGAAAGGGTGACAACACTCAGTCACAGGCACATCCTTACAAAAGTGAGAGACAGCAAACTAGGACCACAGCTAAGGGAGAGAATGCTAACTCAGCATGTGTAGGACCCTAGGTCCAAATCCTAATGTGTGTTCACACACACACACACACACACACACACACACACACACACACACACATGTGTGCGCAGGAAGGGAGGATGGGAGAGAAGGAAGAGGAATTATACTGTTTATAACAGAAAAAGTAGAAATTAGGATCAAATTTTCTTGTAGTTGTTTGTTTTACTCACATAAATACACACACACTCATAAATGCCTGGCCTTAGCTTGCTTATTTCTAGTCGGCTATCCTTTCTCCTGCCTTGCTATTGACCGGTCAGCTCTTTGTCAGACCATCAGGTGTTATAGACAGGCCAAGTAACACAGCTTCACAGAGCTAAACAAATGCAACATAAAAGAACGCAACACATCTTTGCATCGTTGAAACAAATATTCAGCAGCATAAGCAAATGTAACATATCTTAAAATAACATGCTTCAACATTTTCTGCTCTCATCTTTCTGTCCTGGAAGAAACAGCATCTGCAGAGAAGTGGAGCTGAAGCTGACAGATTCATAAGCTGGGAAAAGAAAGGGCTGTGGGCCGAGTGATAGCTCCCGGAGTTGGATGGGAGGCACAGGCTTTTACTCCTCGCACTTAGGAGGTAGAGGGAGGAGAATCTGTCAGAGAGTCAGGCAGGCCTAAGGTACAAAGTGAATTCCAGGCCAGTCAGGGCTGTACAGGGACACCCTGTCTAAAATAACAAGGAAAGAAAGGTTTAGTGCATTGTGGTGTCGCAAAGCCTGGGGACCTGGGTTCTATTTCCAACACCCAGACAGTAAAAGGGGAAAACTGACTCCTGTACATTGTCCTTTGTGTGCAGTGGCACGTGTGTGCCCCCATAAACAAACAACCAACCAAACAACAAAGGGAAAATGAGGAGGTAATCCTACCCCACCTCCTATGGGCCAAAACTATTTTGATGGTGGATAAAGGGAAAGTTTCAGGGTCTTAAAGAATTCGTGGAGTATTTGGAGTCACCTGAGGACAGAACAGGTGTAGTTTGATGTGGCATGAGCCAGAACTGGATACAGGTGCTGGCTGTGGCTTTCTCATGTGACTTGCTGGACGCCTTCACGGTTCTCGCCTGTGGTGCAGATGGCCAGGAAACCACATCCTGCAAAGTTGGTCGCCATGATAAAGTAGCAGTTACTTCCTCTGCGTTGCTCACCTTCTACAAGCTCCCAACCACTGTGCTGGTGTGCGGTGTCCTGCACTCTGAAGGGCCCAGGTGAAATGAACTTCGTGTGAGATGCCTTCAGAAGGTGAGGACATTCGGAATCTTCTCAACAGGTTTCTGTTTTGTGAAAAAAATAAAAATAAAAAACTCATTTCTTTGTGATATTTGCTCTAAGGGAATAATCTTCAGTCCTTGTCTAAGATTCAGACCTAAGCAAATGTGAGGGTCTGCATCCATTGTAGCCTTGACTGTAATAAAATAAAATAACCTCTTCATGTGATGTAGGAGGGTCATCTGTCTATGTGTTACTTTCATTGGTTAATAAAGAAACTGCCTTGGCTTTTTGATAGGGCAGAATTCAGATAGGTGGAGTAGATAGAACAGAATTCTGGGAGAAAGAAAGCAGAGTCAGGCAGACGCCATGATTCCCGTTCCTGAGATGGATGCTGGCTAGACTCATGCGAGTAAGCTACGACCTCATGGTGGCATACAGATTATTAGAAATGGGTTAGTCAAGATGTGAGAGTTAGCCAATAAGAGGCTATGACTAATGGGCCAGGCAGTGTTTAAATGAATACAGTTTCCATGTAATTATTTTGGGTGTAAACTAGCTGGGCAACCGGGATCCCTGCGGGAACACAGCCAGCCCCCGCTCCCTTTGCAACATACATGCCTAGCGCTGGCTCTGCTAAATAAGTTCTACATATGCATTTAGGAGAATTATTGCTAACCACTGCAAAACATGCTGCCTAAGAATGTCAACATGAGGAGACCTTTGTAAGCCAGCTATAGCCTAAATGCAGGCTTTTTTTTTTTTAAGAATAGTGAATAGGAAAAAAATATCTTGGCTGTGTGCATAGATACCAACAGTGGGGAATCTGAACAAAATCAGTATTTCCTGGCTTTGTTTTCCAGTTTTCTTCATTCAGCATCTCTGAATTGTGAATATTGGTCAACTTAAGTACTGTTTTTTGTTTGTTCGCTTGCTTGTTTTGGGAGGTGAAGAAGGGTATGTTTCATCGCACAACTGTAGGTCACAATTCACCATTGAGGGAGGTCAGGCAGGAACTCAAGGGAGGAACCTGGAGGCAGGAATCAATGAGGGCCACTGCTTGAAGGCTTACTCTCTGGCTGGCTCACAGATTTCACATTTATCTAACTTTCTTATACAGCTAAGATCTCCTGCCTGGGAATAGTGGCCCAGAGTGGGCCAGGCCGTCTTGTATTAACTAACAGTGAAGATCTTCCCTCACACACATGGCCTGATAAAGATGATCATGCAACTGAGATACCTCTCAGGTGATTCTAGACTGTGCCAAGTTTGTGACAGGGTTTTGGTTTATTTATTTATTTATTATTTATTTATTTATTTATTTATTTACAATTTCCCCTCCTTTTGTTGAAAATAGATTCTTCTCTCGCATAATGTACCCCGACGATTATGGTCTCCCCTCTGTCTACTCCTCCCAATTCCTCCCCACCTCTTCTCCCATTCCACTCCTTTCAGTCTCTCACTAGACAAAAACAGTCTTCTAAGGGATAATAATAAAATAAAATAAAACAAAAGCTATATCTGAGCTGAACAAGACAAACAGAAGGAAAAGAGCCCAAGAGAAGGCATGAGAGTCAGGGACCCACTCATTCGCACTCAGGAATCCCGTGAAAACACTAAACTGAAAGACATACTACATATGCAGAGGACCTGGTGCAGACCTGTGCAGACATGTGCATGCTGCCTCGGCCTCTAAAAGTTCATATGTGCATCAACCATACCGATTTAGAGGACCTTGTTCTCTTGGTGTCCTCCATCCCCTCTGGTTCTTACACTCTGCCTCCTCTTCCACTGGGTTCCCTGAGCGCTTGAGTGGAGGGATTTGATGGAGACATCAAATTTAGGGTTGAGTGTTCCAATGTCTCTACTCTCTGCATATTGTCCAGCTGTGGGTCTCTCTCTGTGTTCCCGTGCTGTTGCAGGAGGGAGCCTCTCTGATGGCTGAGCAAGACACTGATCTACGAGGATATCAGAATGTCACCAGGAATTATCTTGTCACTACTTTTTAGTTTTTGGATTAATTTTTTTTCATTTTGCCCTAGGTTCCTGGAATATCTAGTCTCTGGTTCTTTGTCACCTAAGCAGCGTCAGGTATGGGTTCTTAAATCAAATCAGATATTGATTGGTTTCTCCCACGAGCTTTGCACCACTATTGCCCTAGCATATCTTGCAGGCAGGACACCATTGTAGATCAAAGGGTTTGTGACTGGCTTGATGTTTGTGTTTCTCTTTAGAGAGCGTGCAGAATACCTTCCTATGCCAAAGACACTAGAGCATAGGGGTGAAGGCTCTGTGTAGGCATCATTTCAACTTCTCCATGTTCAACGAGTTGTCTAGGGGCTTTGGGGCCTTGGTGTCAGTTTGAGGAGAGCAGCCTATTATTGTCTTTACAATGCCCTGGGTTCCCCCCCTTTTTTATTTGATTTTATTGAGTTATGCCTTTTTTCTCTGCTCCCCTCCCTACCTCTCTCCCGTCCCCTCCAACCCTCTCCCATGGTCCCCGTGCTTCCAGTTTACTCAGGAGATCTTTTCTTTTTCTACTTCCCATGTAGATTAGATGCATGTATGTATCTCTTAGTGTCCTCATTGTTGTCTAGGTTCTCTGGGATTGGATTTGTATGGCTTGGGTTCTTTAAGGATTCCCACAAGACCCCTTAGGCCAACAACTTTAGTTAGATGTAACCCACTACTGGTATTGTAACTTCATTTGGTGAGAAGAGATGGCCAGCTGGGGCTCTCTTTTTCCCATTGCTTGGTGATTACATTTAGATCAGCTTCATATATATATATATATATATATATATATATATATATATATATATATATGCTTCTGATAACTATGTATTAGGTTTCCATACTACCCCCCCAAGTGGCCCTTAATTTTAGATGTCTGTCCTTGTATTCCTTCTCCCATCCTTCTTTCTCCCTCCCTCCCTCCCCACCTGATCTTCCTGTTCCAGCCCCCACAATCCACCCATAGATATTTACTCTATTTCCCTCTCCTAACATCTTCTAACTGTTCCCCCAAGTCCCTCACTCTAGACTTACTCTCTGTGGCTCTATGGATTGTAACATGGTTATCACTGGTTTAACAATTCATATTCGCATACAAGGGAATGCATATCATATTTGTCCTTCTGGGTCTAGGATGCCTCACTCAGGATGATTTTTTTCTATCTCCATCCATTTACCTAAAAATTTCATGGTGTCGGGGGCTGGAGAGATGGTTCAGAGGTTAAGAGCATTGCCTGCTCTTTCAAAAGTCCTGAGTTCAATTCCCAGCAACCACATGGTGGCTCACAACCATCTGTAATGGGGTCTGGTGCCCTCTTCTTGTCTGCAGGCATACACACAGACAGAATATTGTATACATAATAAATATATATATATTTTAAAAAATTTTATGGTGTCATTTTTTAATGGCTCAGTAATACTTCATTGTGTGAATGTACCACATTTCTTTATCCAGTCTTCTATTGAGGGACATCTAGATTGTTTCCAGTTTCTGACTATTATCATAGAGCAGTAATGAGCATGGTTGAGTGAGTGTCTCTGGGGTAGGATGAAGCATTCTTTGGGTATATGTCCAAGAGTGATATAGCTGGGTCTTGAGGTGGATTGATTTCCATCTTCCTAAGGAATAGCCACAGTGATTTTCAAGTAGATGTACAAGTTTGTGCTCCCACCAGCAATAGATGAATGTGGGCCTGAGTGATTAGCCTAGGGCAGAAAGAGGCACCATGGCCTTGCTCCCGAGGGCAGTGCCATCCAGTAGACCTTCTGTGGCAGTGACAGTATCTACATAATAACTGCTCAACATGGCAGCGATTGGCCACATGTGGTTATCAGGCATTGAATTGTGGCTAATGAGAATGAACAAGTGAATTTTAAATTTACTTACTTTCAATTATTTCAATCTTAAATAGCTGCTCATGGTTAATGGCTATTATGACAGGAACACAATTCTAGATGTTCTATCTGTAAGAATGCTATTTGATATTTTAAAATTTTCTGGACATAATAGTGCATACCTTTAATTCTGGACATAGTAGTGCATCACTCACAATGAGAGGCAGGTATCATCCTGGTTACAGAAGGAGTTCAAGATCAGCCTGGGCTACAACGTGAGACCCTGTCTTGTGGAGGTCTCTGCAACCACCGTGGCTAACAGAGTAACAATTAGCAGGAAACAAGAAGGTAGTTCGGTTCAATATGACTTTTGGGAGTCTGACCTTGGGTAGTTTATTTAAGTACAGCACAATTTGGTAAGATATTCCTGATGATAATCAATTCAGTACTGTGTGCACAATAGAGTTTAAGATGTGACTACATCGAAATTCTTTGTAAAGCACATATAATGTCTTCTATAAAGATGGCTTCTTTAGATTGACAAAGTCATTGACAGAGGATCCAGTACAGTCTATGGCCACACAGATAGTGTAAAAGGTCACCAATGTATTAACCATGTCCACTCCCAGCCTTCTAGGCAGATAACAGGTTATGCATTTCTTCCTTTGAAGGAGCGACCCTGTGTGTTTACCATTCTTGGTCCCCCTAGTGCTTACCTGTGGACCCTAGGACCTCTGTGTGTCCCATACTGTCTAAAAAAAGATTAATTTTTATTTTGTGTGTACTAGTATTTTGCCTGTATGCATGTGCACTGTGTATGTGCTTGGTGTGCAAAGAGGATGTTGAATTCCCTGGAACTGGAGTTACAGACAGCTGTGAGCCACTATGTGAGTGCTGGGAAACAAACCTTGGTGCTCTAGATGAACAGCAAATGCTCTTAAGTGCTGAGCCTTCTCCCCAGGCTCCTTCACTCAATCAACCCACGATCATTTGCCACCCAAGTATGCTTGGCACATAAGGGAAAATGTTTTCTTCTTCCTCCCTCCCTCCCTCCCTTCCTCCCTCCCTCCCTCCCTTCCTTCCTTCCTCACTCCCTCACTCCCTTCCTTTCTTTATGGGTGGTAGAGGAATCTTAAGAATTAAGGTAACAGTGCTCCAATGTGGGTCTCCGTCTCTATTTCCATCCATCGTCGGATGAAGGCCCCCTCTGATTTTG